AGACATTTCGTTTGTAAGAAATCCATTTTCAACGCGATAGATTTCTGAAATTTATATATTCTCTTCAAGTTTTATAAAAAGTTACTGCTTCTTGCGCAATTGCGTTTCATGATTATATAACATATAATAATTTTATGCTCGGTTTTGTATTGTAATAGCCAGTGGTCTGTTTACATACGGCATGATATTATATCAAAATTAATGCTGTGATCTCTCTGTAAAAAGACATTTAATTTGAAACAAATTAATTTTGAGCGTTATAGATTTCTTGACAATTCTGAAAATTCTCTTCAAGTTTTGTAAGAAGTTACTGTCTCTTGCGCAATTGCGTTTAATTATTTAAATATATCATATAATAATTTTATATAATGTAATACTTTTATAATTAGTTGGTTATAATTTCTTTAGTTGAAATATTTCAACTAAAGAAATGATAATTAACGAAACACATTTAGTCGAGTCAACAACTTTGTTTTCTCAGTATATTTAATTATTACATGCACATATTTTAGTGCAGCAACTAATTTATTATATAAACTCTTTTTAAACAATTGGTTATTTCATAACAAGCTATATCCCTATACAAAAAATGCCGTAATCGCGTAAAATATTTGATTTTAAATTGCTTACGAAAACCTCACATTTCAGCAATTTATTTTACACATTCATAACGTCAATGCACATTTTGCATTTGACTAATATTACATTAATTAATACGGACGATAAATCATATCCTCACAAATTTTAGTCTTGAAATTATCTTGAAGTTACCCTTTTGTTATATCGGAGCCTTCAATTCTCGCGGAGAAACTTCCAATAATCGATGAACCTATACCGCAAATTTCGATATCTCTCTGTCATTTAAGCTTTGAACTTTTCCTTGGTCGAATAATCTCGAATTACAAGTAAAGAACTTCTCGATGCTCTGCGTTATCGTGAACTGATTTCGGCCGGGATTTTTTCTCACGGCACGTGTCCGGGATGCTCTCGCGTATGCTAGAAAAGCTTCTCGCTCTCTCTGCTTTCCTGCGGTGGAGCAAGAGAGGCCGTGACAAACAAATGCACCGCGTCAGCCCGGCGTGACACCCTTCCGTAGCTGGAACGTCGGGGTGGGAAGGTAAGCGAAAAGGGCGACGAGAGCGTCGGTGGGTGGGAAGGAGGACCAGAGGGTAAGGACGAGAAGAGACGGTGGTCGAACGGCAGAGGATGAGTAGAGAGAGAGAGAGAGAGAGGATGAGGAGCAGGATGAAAAGTAGAGGATCGTGGAAGCCGTGCTCAAGTAGACAAGGGACACGTCAGCCGCCATCCTTCTCTACTCAGCCTTTTATAGATTATTCACGTACAATGGCCGGGGGTGACAAGTGGCGCGGTGCACGGGGCCTCGATGGGTCCGCCAGATGGATCCCTTCCTTTATCCTGAAGATGACTCTGGAGTGGTCCTCGACTTTTCTGATATATCGTCATAAGATTCGTGACTCGCTCCGATACGATTCCTTTCGTCATTCGTGCGAATAATTGTCATAAATAAAGAACGAATATATATATATTTTAGAATTTGGAAATGGAGAGTATATTGCAGGGTTATATTGAAAGAAAAATGTAGAAATTAATTTGTTATCGCTGGAATGGTCCTTGATTTTTCTGATATATCGTCATAAGATTCGTGACTCGCTCCGATACGATTCCTTTCGTCATTCGTGCGAATAATTGTCATAAATAAAGAACGAATATATATATATTTTAGAATTTGGAAATGGAGAGTATATTGCAGCGTTATATTGAAAGAAAAATGTAGAAATTAATTTGTTATCGCTGAAATCATAAGATTCGTGACTCGCTCCGATACGATTCCTTTCGTCATTCGTGCGAATAATTGTCATAAATAAAGAACGAATATATATATATTTTAGAATTTGGAAATGGAGAGTATATTGCAGCGTTATATTGAAAGAAAAAGGTCGAATATAAATTGACTCGCTCCGATACGAATTCGTGCGAATAATTGTCCGAACTGAGATAATAAGATTCGTGACTCGCTCCGATACGATTCCTTTCGTCATTCGTGCGAATAATTGTCATAAATAAAGAACGAATATATATATATTTAGAATTTGGAAATGGAGAGTATATTGCAGTCTAGAAATTAATTTGTTATCGCTTTTAATTCGATTAAAATAATATTCCGATTTGATGATTTTTTGGAAAAGTGTGATAATTTTTATTTTCTTGGTGTAAACTCGTTACTTTTTACTTAACAATAAAACGTATCTGAAGATAAATGAAATGCTGCGATAAATATGTCATATTTGTTTCTTTATATTCGTATTTTTTCCTCTTGTAACAATAAATAACGAAAATATTGCTTGGAAAATAATAATTGCACGAATGATGAAATAGCGTGAACATTTTGTTTTTACACAACAGATTATCTTGCCTCATCATACAATTGATCAATCTATATCTCAATAATAATTGGTGATGCGCGAATACTAATTAAATTCCGGTGCGATGTTCGGTGGAAAATGGATGAATTATTCGCGTGATTTTCCGAGACCGGTGTCCATGATTTTGGTGTACATTGGGCGTACACCGTCATAAACGCGATGTCGTAAAAGAGAGCGTGGGAGAGACAAAAAGAGAGTGGGAGCGAGAGAACGTCCTCGTCGTTTCGTTGTATGCAAATGCGAGCCGTCCGCGGTGTTCTCGCTCGTGTTGTTTGGCGTTTTAATGCTGATTGGACGACTGCCGATTCAGCGGCTGTTCGTTTGCTGCGATTGTACGTTCCGCGAAAATCTCCCAAAATTCGGTATATTGTCGTAGCCGCATGAGCAAATCGCGAGCTCAGTAATGCCGGTTCATGGACGTTCTCCGTCGTACACAGTGCTTTTCGCTTATCCAATTCTTTAAACAATTTTAACCAATTGTTCGGAAAGATATTTAACGTTTGAAAGTTACTGTGATGTCGATTTTCTCTCGATGTCATTGTCGAGGAAAAATTCATTGACTTGTCAAAGAGATTCTTAAATAAAACATTGTTCGCAAATTCTGGTTTGCAACAGGGTGTATTTTGAAAAATGTTTAACGATCTTCTTATCTTATTAGAAAATGTGCATTTATAAAATCAAAGCTGAAAATGAAAAAGCTCTTTTCAAAAAATGTAGCGTGGATTGTTAGTTGCAGTTTCCTGTTGTAAAATAAACTAGAACTGAAATGATCTCTCTACAATTCCCTGAGATTTTTATCCCCCAATTTCGCGTATATAATACGTGGCATCGCTACTTTTCCATTCTTTTTAGATGCGTCCTATTCGATGCGTCCTTGTTCGAAATGGTATCGTGCGCTCGTAGAAATCGATATAGGAACAGGAAGTCGTCGCGACGTTTCCACGCAGTTCGCACTAGATGCACGAGTATTGCCGAGTAGAAGGAAAGAGGCGATGGGTGGATTGAAGGGTGCAGGCCCGGAGGGGTTGGCTCCATCAAAAATTCAATCCATACGAGTATTCGTTGTTTCGTCTGCGAGAAGGAAGCGGAAGCAGTAAGAGAGGCGTGAAACGTTTTGTAAAATTCTCGAGACGTTGCCGGCAGGTTTCGGGGAGATTCGTGAGCGGATGAAGGAGATGAGTGAAAGCGAAAGAGAGAAAGAAGAAGCAACAGCGGTACACGTCATTCCGCAAAACAGAAAAAGGGAGGCAGTCGAGGAGGAAAAGAGGCGGAAAAGGGGTTTGCGCGAAAGGCGGAGGAGAATATCGGTAGGGTGAAGAGAGGGTGAGAGCGGGTGTAGCACGGCGGCGCGTTTGGTTCTTGAAGCATGTGTGCCCCATAAATAACATGTAAATATTTTCAATAACTGCCGGGGCGGCCCCGGCATGAAAAATGCAAACCGCTTTGCGTCCGGCCCTCGACGCGTTGCATTCCCTCGTATCGTCGTATCACTCATCCCATCCTTCGTGGATCGGCCGGCGGCAGCCACCCCCTTAGCTCACGGCGTCGAACTGTCTTTTAATATATCCGTGTGTACACCGTGTCCCGCGTGAAATTTATGGTATAACGCCGGGCCTGATATTCGTTTCGCTTTAATCCTTCAGTTTCCAATCCAGTCGCCGCCGGCTCTACCGAATTTGCATAGGTTTCCGAAATATTATTAGCTATTCTTTGTGTCTACTATTTTATTTCTATAAGAAGCATTGTTAGAAAATATTGTTTTGGAAAAAAAAAAAAAAAAAAAAAAAAAATTATCGTAGTAATTTTTCTCCAATATCGTTTTACTATTATTTTTATATAGTTGTATGTAGAATAAGTCTCAATATATAACAAGTTTATTTCACGGCATTATTAGAAAATATTGTTTTGTCAAAAAAAAAAAAAAAAAAAAAAAAATTTGACATTTTCTTCTACAATAATTATCGTAGTAATTTTTTTCCAATATTGTTTTACTATTATTTTTATATAGTTGTATGTAGAATAAGTCTCAATATATAACAAGTTTATTTCACGGTATCGACGATAACGCGAAAGATTAACTCAGTGTTGACTTTGCCGTGATAGATAAGCTTGTAATAAATAAAATTGATACAGCTCGCGAAATATTTCAAAGTTGCCTGCCAAAGTAATCGTTTTGGATAATTTTCAATTTACCGACTAAAAAATCGACATTGATGAATTACGCTAATGAGCACTTTTAATCGCGGAAATAAAAGAGGCGAAAATTACCTTATTCAGAGAATTAATACTATCGTATCTCGCGATTTACGAGAATTAATTAATACGGAAATGTGTTACGCTTTTGACTGACTTTTTTATACGATTGTGCGCTTTGATGTATATGCTACATCGAGATATGTATCTCGCAATTTATTCAATTGCAGCATGCAGCTACTACATACCTTTGTACGCGTTCGCGATGGAAATACCATTACTATCAGCAACTGCTTGCTTCATTAATGTCCCGAGCGACAAGCACACATTTATACTAAACATTCCCTTTTCGTTTGTTTGCAGGGGCTTCGGGTTCATCACATTTGCAGACCCCGCAAGCGTAGACAAAGTGCTGGCGCAGGGCAATCACGAGTTGGACGGCAAGAAAGTAAGTAATCGTTGCATTTTACTAGATTTATTTTAATAGTGCGATTAAACTTGAAATTCAAGTTTCTGACTTTTCTATTATTAATCGTGAATTTATAACTGTACGCACAATTATTTAGCAATCGACCTCTCTATATTTTTATAATATTTAAATGATTTTTGAAACATTTAAATATTATCCAATGTGAAACGTGGCGAGAATCTCGGTTTTATAGCTTGTCTTGAATAAACTAAATTGATTTAATTTCCGTGAGATTCTCGACGATTATATTTCCAAGCGCAATACTTACTGCGGAAGGTGCAAGATGGTCTCGTTAAAAAATTTGGTTAAAAAAGATTCAAATTGTGCGTGCCTTGATCGAATGTGCGTCACGCGAGTAATTAATTTTCATGTCCGGTCGGAGCTGCTGTATGTGTGTCCCGAGGTAATTGAAAGAGCATGCCGCGAGTCGATCAAACCGATTGGTAACTGCAGTTCATAGGTATATTTCGGTCCGGGATGTGTCCCCATCATCGATTCCGGTAGCAAAATTTTATTCGCGTTTGAAACTTCATTAATTTAGCGTCAAACGTTGTTTCGTCTCGTTCGTTAAAACCTGGGCATATATCATTCATCTATATTTCTATCTATATTTTAGAATTGTGTAAATAATTCGGTTATCGACGAAATGTTGTCTTTAGTCGTGAAAAAAGGAGTTAATCATAGAAATTCGTTGAATATTTTCTTAAATAATACATTTATTTAACATGATATTATCACTTAATATTATCACTTTATTTGTGAAACATGAAAGGTTTAAAAAAAAAATCAAAATACAAATTATTCGAATAAATTATTATTTACTTATCGTTTTAATTTATATCTGTTAAATTTTGAATTATTTAATCGTAACAAGACAAATCAAGTATGATAATGAAGACATTTCCATTTTTAAGTTTATCAATATCGAGAAATCTGACACGACATGCAATAAAAATCTTTTTCTACTCTAATAAATTTTAATTATATATTCAGAACGACGACGCGCGGTTATTATTAAATTCGATAAGAGAATTAAATCTATTGTAATTCAAGAGATGTAAATCGAAACAGTAAAGTACAAGAATAATAACTTATTCCACCTCTGTTTTAAATCTTTTGTGTCACATTTAAAAATAATAATTACACAGCGCTACGCGACACAACTTTCTCTATATTAAACAATTTCTAAAATCACCACGCTACTGATTGAGTTTTTATCGATAAAAAAATATTTTTCCGCTGTTCATTCCGGAGAAATATATCTTTCTCTATCGATTCTCACCTTTTCCTAAGGGATACCTTGCGCGCACAGAACAATGCCGAACGTTGTGGCGATTAATCGTGGGTCGACATAGTCGTTTGGCAAACGTGCCTCTTATTCTCCCTCTCTCTCGCCCTCTCGGCAGAGAGCAAGACAATACTCGGGGAATAATATCGTAAGACGGCGAGCGGGCTGTACGGCGAGAGAAATAGTTGCGGACATTAGCTGTCCACTGTGCCATAAGTAGAGCGACTCCAGCGCCAGGGTGGCCGCCTAAGTGGCCCCGAATACGCTTAAGCGAGGGGCAACCCCGACTCGCATAAATTTCGCGTAATTCGCTCCGGCTAATGCAAATTGCGAATGCACGGATCCGGAAGCTAACACCTTCCCGATAGCGGGAAGAGAATATCGCGCGTATAGGGCAACCGCCAGCGCATCCTATTAAGGCTACCTCTTAAGGGATGAGATGTCCTCACCCTCCGGCACTCTATCTACCTTTCTTCTTCTCCTTCCTCTCTCTCTCTCTCTATCTCGTTCTCTTTCCCTTCCTCTGAGGAAAAAGGGAGAAGCGAGAACGTACAAGGAATGCAAACGCGCGGAAGCGCCCGCTGCTTTGATTCGCTGACAAGTTTCGCCGCATTAATTAGCGCGGCCTTCGTCCCCGCTCCCGTTAACGAACTCTTAACTTGCGCTAACACGCGAATATAAATAAAGTGGGACAAGAGAGCGAAACACGCGGTATTCTACCGGCAAGTGTAGTTGTCACGAGAATATAGTTTCTCTTGCTTTGTGCTTCTCATTTTATGTGTATAAAGTTTCCTAGAGAATAGAAATATTATCTGAAATCTAATCGGAGTTGTAGGTTTTTGTACATATTTATAATCTATTATCGATGCTCTGTCCTGTTATCCGGGGATAAAAGAAAACATTGATTTTATAATTCAATTATGTTAAATTATTTCTAAATTATATAAAATAAACCTTAGAACGATATAATTTATATAATTTATATATATATATGGGATTATAAAACATCATCAAACATCATATATGAGCGAGGAGAAATGTTTCTACATACGCGAGCCAAACGTCATTCCGATTATATAATATTATCGAAAATCAGCGCAGGTTAGCTCACACGAGAGCAATTTTGCGGGTCGATATGCCAGACGTTTCTCTCTGCTTGACATGAACAATGATTTTGCAACGTGCCGCGTAAGCATCCACCGCGGCACAATGCTGATCGACGATCAGAATAGCCAGCAGATTTCGCTTAATCGAGCCGGTTGCTGATTAAAAAAATACGGTCGAACGTGCGCGTCCTCGTTTGTGTACCGTTTGATCTCGACAGGCGTAGCGGAAGTAGCCAAATCAGCTGTACTCGCACATGTTTCGTCCATAATGCTGGCGCACGTAATACGGAGTCCAGAATTGTTTTGTATTCTCGCACTAAATCGGTAGCGCAGATTTTCTTTCCTATTATACCTTTATGTGGCACGAACTAAAGGAGAATATTTAAGTTATTATAATTATACTAATACGTCTTTTAAAAATGAGAATTGAAAGTTTGTATTTTAAATGCGTATGAATAATTATATTTTATTTTTTTATATATTTTACAAGTCTTGTTTTATATAATAAACTTGTAATTTTAACTGTAATTTTTTAAAATGCTCTCGCTTTTGCCAAAATATTTTATTTAAATTTAAAAGAATTCTTAAAAATGAAAAAAATATAATAAGACATAATATGACTATGTAATATATCTAATGAGATTTTTCTATTCGAAAAAAAAACGCATAATTGAGATCAAAAAATATACGTGAAACTGTAATTTTCAGTTATAGAAATAATACATTGCAGGAAAAATTTTATGAGGATTAAAAAATTTACATTTCGAAATGCTTGTATTAAGAAATGCATTTTTGAAGACGTCAGTATTAATTATTTCATGATCTTATCTTTTATAATACATCTGTGGAGATGTACATAATATATAAAGATGACTTGAAATAATACGAAGGATACGGATGTGGGTGATGAGGTCTAAGAAGGAAATTGTGAGAAGGAAGGAACCTTTAAGGATAGATGCACGCGAAATTGTAGAAGCTCTTTAGAGCTCTGCATGGCCCGCATTCCGGGATACCTTCAGACGTCTCGACGACTTTAGAGACATATCGTACGAGAGCACGTGGCAGACGAGTCTGTCCTTTCCTTCTTCTTTCCTTTTTAAAAAGGAACGCGTTTTAACTCTTTCGAAAAATATCGGTTTTCTGATACCAAGATGAATATATTAATATAAAAGACATACTAAACGAGTATTCCCTTTTTTTTACTATAATTTCTCCAATAAATGTAAAGTCGATTTTTCTTGACATCATATTTTTTAATTTTTGTTATTTAAATATTATTCATTTTTATTACTAAATATTTGTATTGGTAATAAGTCTTAAATACTGAAAATTTATCAAAATGTATTAGTTGAAATTATATCCAATTGAGACAAAATTTTAAAATTAGAAATATTATTCTATCATAAACGTTACTTTATCACAAATATTTAATATATTTTTCTATCTTTTAATATCAAGTTTTTTACATTTCTTTTTTATACAATTTTATTCATACAATTTTATACATTAAATATACAGCTTAAAGAGATTGGGAACGCGCTGACTTGTTATCAATTTCGAAGAAATATTACATTAAATGAAGTGACAAAGTAAAAGCATATTTTTTTATTGAAGTTATCGGAGAAATAAAATTCTTGCGGGACTATATGTATTAAAATACATTTTGTCGAAACGTACATATTATCAATTAATTAAATGTTAAAATCTATATAATATTGAAATGAGATACCTCTGTGAATGCAGTTTATTATACTTTCATAAATTAAAATTCTTGCAAATCTTGATTGCAATGTCATAATGTAGTTAAATAAGCTTTTTTTCATAGAGATGATATTCAAAAATTGATATTTTTTTACTGCAATTACATGTCTACAATGATATTAATTTTTATAATGACAGTGATTGGAATGGAATATGGTAGAGTTAAATTAATATCTTTTTACTTTTTCTTTTTATTTCAAAGATATAGGAGATTGTAAGTGATTAAATATTGAGTATTACGTAGACTTGTGATGTGTTTAAGCAAGTTTTTGCAATTTTTTTCTTGAAGCTCTTTCATAGATTTTTAACTTTATATGAATCATTGTCATAGAGGTGCGATTTTTTATGTATTAGCAATTTGTTTCGAAAAAGCGATTAGTGTAATTTGGAAACGTTGTAAATAATACCACGATACGAATAATATTGACAAGACAATTAATTGACATCACAATTGAATCTGTGAAACTTCTAAAACAAACGCACGAATCACTTATATTATATAGCACAGATTCAGTATCTCTTTTCAATACTGTGTTTCTAAAAAAATTTATCTAAAATCTAATAAAATTTACTCTTCTCTATATTTTTTCTTCTTTCTAGCCTTTTACATTTTTTGGCCTTTTACAGTTTCTTTTAATCGATCGTTTTTCAATACTTGGTGTGCGCTTTAAACGGTTCGAAAAATAAACAGTATCGCTTGTCCATGGAATAATTTATTTAGAAAGTCTGAAGCCCACTAAGCCTTGTGGAAATTGTCTGCAGTCCCTCATAAAACTCTATCTGCTATATCTTTCCCCTTGTTCTCAGTCATCGTTCTCTTTGGC